ACACTTTACATGCAACTGCCTTCTGAAAGTTTTGCATTGACACGTCTTATGATTACTAAAAAAATATAAAGTTTGCTCGTTAAAACATTTGGATTTGGAAATGCTTTACTTCTTTTTTTACAGTGTGTATGTATATGAAATAGTCGGCCGCTGTGGTGTAGTGGTAAGCAGTGCGCGCTTCCACTCATCAACACCTGGGTTCAAGCCCTGGTCAAAGCAACATCGTAAAAAAAATATAGAAAAAGGTTTTTTCTCAACAGCGGTCGTCCGGCGGCAGGCAATGGCAAACCTCCGAGTGTATTTCTGCCATGAAAAACAGCTTCTCATAAAAATACAATCGCCGTTCGGAGTCGGCGTAAAACTGTAGGTCTCTCCGCTTTGTGTGACAACATCAAGGCGCACGCCACAAGTCGGAGCAGAAGCTCGGCCAAACACTAACATATGTGTATATGAAATAATATTTCGTTTTAATTTTTGAAAAAAGAAACCCGCACTAGACACGAAGAAAGGCGCGAACTCAAAAGTTGACCGCGAAAAAAGGTCCATACAAAAAACTTCAGCGCAGGAAGACTCTTAACATAGTTGACGGCGAAGAAGGATGTGTGAACTTATTTTCGCGGTCAACTATGTTTGCGGGTGTACGTAGATTCCCCAAAGAGATTTGGGGAATGATGCTAAAGTGACAGTCCTTGGCCAAGTATAAATCTATGATTACGCGTCTCTCTTCGCCGCCCACTAGGTTACATGTCTTTCTTCGCCGAAGTTTTTCTTAAGCGCCTTTTTTCGCCGTCGAAACACTAGTGCGCCTTTATTCGTGTCTAGTGACAAAACGTTGGGGGGAACTTTCCAATCAGGGCGTTGGTTAAAGAGACGGTGGGCGAAGGGGGATTCGGCGTGGCGCCTCCCACCGCCCGTTTTGGAGAGGGCATGAACCGCCATTGACAAAAATGCAACCCCCGACCACCTAACACATATGTAACAAAATCACAAACCGATACGAATTTGCAGCTAATAGTTATTTACGTTGAACTGTCAAATGACCGAATGAAGAAGAGGCGGTTGGTTACCGAACGAGCAATTATCCACAGTATTGGGAGGCGCCACGCCGAATCCCCCTTCGCCCACCAACCCAAACGTCTTATTCAAAATATCAAGGTATTTCTACGTTTTATGTGTTAATTGTACTTGGAATATTTGACTACTCCCCAGCCAGCAAGGAAACGTACGTTTTGTGGACCGTGCCTTTTGCGTACATTTTTCTATCCATAGAACAACGGAAAGACCTCGGTTATTGAAAATGTGCCATTGGAATGTTTTTTTTTTCCTCTTTCAAAAGAAAACTTCGGCAACCGTATTTAACGATTTTGAAAATTGTGAAAGAAAAAATTAAATTGAAGACCAGTTTTGAAGAATTGTAAACTAATTCATAAAGAAAATAATTATTATAAAAATATTCTGAACATTTTCAAGAAAAACCAGTCGTGTATTTACTGAACATTATATGTACAGTATCGGTCATATCTATAGCACCCCATTTCAAAGTGATATTGTGTGCAACTTATGTTTATTTATGTATTTTTGAGAATTTTCAATTAAAATACAGTTCTTTCTCTAACAAACCCCGTATAAACCCAAGTTTACCAATTTGTAGAAAACTTCAAAAAA